TCACACTTCAATAAACATTGTAGTTATTTATAAGGTTTGAAATTAATATGCCTTATTTTTTGTTAAAGTAAAATATTTATATATCAAATGCATCATAAACAGGTTTTTAAAAGTACAATATTAATTCTCTTAGGTGGTGCGTTAGCAATTTTGTCTAGTGTATATGCATTGAACAATACAAATTGGAGCAGAGCAAACACGGACCTCCAAAACAACAGAGGTGGGATCAGGTGCCATGGAGGAGTGAGCATCTCCTGCCAACTGGTCACATCCGCCGTGTGCTCCTTATCATGATTGGAAAGTGACAGGAAAATCTGTCGACAATTTAATGTTTAAATAATGGTCTAATAATTAGTATGAAAACGTCAGTAAGCATTTGATTAAATGATAAATAGTAATTTGTAATTGTAAATGTAATATAAAATTTATATAGCGCTCTATCGATTGGAGTCCTCTAAAGCGCTTTACAATTAAAATATGTCAAAGAGATAGTAATTGAATATATATATACATGTAAATAAAACTAGTCATGATGTCACTGTCTAATTTATATTTAAAAGAGAATCACAAATTAAAGGCTAGCTTAAAAAGGTAAATTTTAAGATCCTTTTTGAAATAAATATTTTTAGTATTTGCTGATAAGGTCAATGTATCGACCCTAAAACTACGAAATGATGACTTGTTTCATCAACTTGTTTGTCAATAATTTACGACGCGTTAGAAATTGTACATAGGTAAATCATGCTATTGCTTATCGAATTACCTGAGAGATATAAACCAGTGCGCCGTATGCAGGTGATGAAGGTATACTGCTGCATAAGTAAGGGAAGTTGACGATTGAAAAGTTAAGGTCATCACGTTTATCATAGAGCTTAATTAATGGATTACCATTACTCTGTCTGTGGCTTCTTTTATCTCAAGCTCACCGGGATTTATCGTAAAGAGCTGTCGCCAGATCCAAATATCGAGAAAAGAGGTTAGTTATATGACTAACGGTACGCGTTGATTAGAATTTGACTGAAGAATATTAAAATTGAATCTATACTCCACTCACTCCTACTTGGTCCGCAACGAAAGTCGCCCAGAAACAAGATAGAAAGTCCGGTCAAAATTTGTGGTAGCGAATTTCCTATTTTTAGATTCCTCCCTTGTGTATTTTTATAGTAGGGGTAACTTTATTAAAGTAATTCCACCCTCCTATGATGTCATAGGTTTTTGGCAAAACCTGTAATTAGTTTAAATTCATACCTAATAGAACAATATCTCTAGGAAGAATGCTTTACAATAGGTGTAATGATAAATATTGTTAAGTTTAAGAATTTAAAAAATGCATATTTTCTATATTTAATCAATTATTCAATCTTTAAAAAATGTTGACAAGGGCAATAACTCCTTCTAAGGTCTCTTCATTCAGGCATTTGCTTTATTGTAAAATAGTGTCCCTGATATTCATAATTCAAAAGTATCTTTTAAGTAGGAAGTGTTTAGGTACATATATATATACTGTTTACAAACAATGTCTGATTTTTTTATGTTGACATACACTTCTGTTTATTTATGTTTCGCATCTTAAATAATATGGTGACCTATACAATTTTTGCAATAAGTGGAAAGATTAAAGTATATTAAATGAAAATAAATGCAGTTTTTGTACTTTGAACCTATAAAATTGTGAGGGTGGAATCACCTTAAAAGAAGATAAATATTTCGTGACAAGCCCCTGTGATGTAAGCAAATTGTCGACTTCCATTTTTATTGGAAAAGCAGCTGTCAATGATATCAACAAGTCTGGACTTTAATTTATCATGGGGAATGGCCGTGTATAAAGTTGAAAAGTCGCAAGTTTTTAAGCTGTCGATTTGGTAAAGTCTTGTAATTTCAAAATTTCCAATTTGCACCATTTGTCGAATACATTGTTTCAAATATCAATAATATAATAATATACCTTTTTTATCCTACTTTATTTGATGATTATTAAATTCATTGATTATTGATTTTAATGATTATTAAAACATACATATATATAATATATATAAACTAGAAGTACTGTGATCAATGTGCTAACAACCAAAGTAAGCAATTTATATCTATTTTCTGCAAAATTTGCGACATTTATTTAAAAAACAGCTAAAGAAAGCATTTTTTATGCATTTTTCCTTTAACAGCTACGACATTTATTACCGTTCTAACAATCAAAGTAAGCATTTTATTGCTTATGTAGACTTCATATAATTTATAACGCAGCATCAGGTTGTAAATATCGGGGTGTACAATGTCAAAATAAAACTCCCGGTAATTCATATTACTGCGATTGTGTCTCACAAATTAACGCGAGTTATCATATGACGATTTTTAAACCAGTATGCATTATGTTTATTGAATCACGGTAACATAATAGATAACCTTTTGGATTAAAATTACATTTAGAACGGATAAAAAATTTGAAATATTTTGATTAACAAAACCCATACAGTTTATTATACCAGGATTTAGAACATATATATATAGTATATATGTAAAATGATTATTATCAACATCACCGAAACAAAATATCTAGTTAAAGTCACTAAGAAGAAGACTAGTAAACTTACTGTACATACAATCACTACCTCAAAAGTAGTTTTACTAGGTATTGGGTAGATTTACTAGATAAGATTAGTAAATCTAGAATTTATAAGTAACTTTAACTGGGTATCTAAATATCTTTACGACCTCCACTCCAATTCTCACTAACAGAATGTTTACTAATCACGACGAACGCTTTACTAGGCACACTAGTAAAATTAAATCTTACAAGTCATGGGCTCAGGGCCCTTAAGTTCGAGGCCGTTGGTCTCCTGACAAACTTTCCAGCCGCATTATTGTCCCCTGCTTTTACGAAAGCGAGGAGACATTAAATCTCATTCGTCTGTCCGTCAGTCTGTCCGTTCGTAACAAAAACTTTAACCTTGCTCATAACTTTTGATTTAGTGGAGCTATGACTTTCATATTTCACATGTATATTCCTTGTGACAAGACCTTTCTTTGGGTACCACCAAAGTTGACCTTTTGACCTTAACCTTCGAGTTTGACCCACTTTTACACAAAAATTCAAAACTTTTACTTTGGCCATATCTTTTTAATGGTAAAAACTAGGACTTTCATATTTCTCATATGTATTCTTTGTGGCAAGGCCTTTCATTGGATACCAACAATTTTGACCTTCTGACCTTGACCTTGGAGATTTCCGTACTTGTGAAAAACTTTAACCTTGATCATAACTTTTGAACGGTAAGGGCTATTATACTTCACATATGTAATCCTTGTAAGAAGAACTTTCATTGGATACCAACAACTTTGACCCTTTGACCTTGTAGATTGACCTACTTTTCAAAAACTTTGACCTTGGTCACAAGTTTTGAACGGTAGATACTAGGACTTTCCTATTTCACATATGTATTTTTTGTGGCAAGACCTTTCATTGAATACCAACAACTTTGACCTTTTGACCTTGACCTTGGAGATTTCCGTACTTATGAAAAAACTTTAACCTTGACCATATTTTATGAATGCTAGAAACTAGGACTTTCATATTTCACATATGTATTCTTTGTGGCAAGGCCTTTCATTGGATACCAACAATTTTGACATTTACCTTGGAGATTACTGTACTTATGAAAAAAAACTTTAACCTTGACCATAACTTTTGAACGGTAAGGGCTAGGGCTCTCGTACTTCACATATGTAATGTGAGAATATCTTTCATTGGGTACCAAGAACTTTGACCTTGACCTTGGAGATTGACCTACTTTTGACTGAATCAAAAGTTATGAGAAAGGTTAAAGATTTTGTGACGGACGGACAGCTAGACAGACTGACGGACAGACGAATGAGATTTAATGTCCCCTCGCTTTCTCGAAAGCGGGGGACAACAAAAAGAGATACACTGTAGAAATATTTGAATATAACTTATCATAAGCTCCGGGGTTCTTGTGAACATTTAAATATTTTTTTATCTATTTAACCCCTATATTGGCCCACTTCACCTATCCCTTGGGGCCATGGTTTTTAATTTGCACTAAGGATATCTGCATATTAAAATGATTATCATATTTCTGCTGGTTAAAGGATTTTCAAGGATTTACTTCCCTTTATGATAATTTATCAAATATTTACTTTAGTATTTTTTTTACTCATTCTTAACATACAAAACATGATGCAGATCAAATAAAAATATAAAAGAAGCAAATTCAAAGAATTGTGGTCCCCCGCTTTCGGTGTCTTTGTGGGTGATATATTATTTTTACTTCTACTTTTTGATGTAACACGATACCTAATAGTTCGGGTTTCCCAGAGCGAAACATGGACTGTGCCATTATATTCATATGGGAGGCGAGGGTATGATTTAGTAAGCTCAATGCTCACAGTACCTCTGGTTTTATCGGTATTTTTGATCAGGAAAGTGTTGATTCTTTTAAAACTTGCATTTTTCCACTCACACATGGGTCATACTTTTACACATAAAGTAGAAAATGTTGTCATATTGTTACACGTTGAGTTGAAAATTGTGTCATACTTTTATGACATATATATGTATAGAGTAGAAAATTGTGTCATGCTTTTACAAGCTGAGTTAAAAATTGTGTCATATTCTTACGTGTGGATTATTGTGTCATATTGTTACATGTAGAGTTGAAAATTGTGCCATACTTTTACACGTTGAGTTGAAAATTGGTCAAACTTTTACGCACTGAGTTGAAAATTGTCATACTTCTATACGTGGAGTAGAAAATTGTGTCATAGTGTTACGCGTTGAGTAGAGAATTATGTCATGCTGTAAATTTACTGAGTGGAAGAAAATCTAAACTTAATTTCCATCAACTGAGCTAATAAATATTGATCAAAAATTTCATGCGCCCAAGATTTGAGTATTTTGAAAGGTAGACCATTGACATAAAATTGTTCTTTAGCATTAGCAAGAATTACAATGCTTATCCATAGAAACTTAACATCTTTCTTACCTATAGAGTTGGTCTCCAAGTAAAAAATTTGAAACTGGCGTACCAAAGGAATTGAATATTACTGGAAAGAAAACGATGAAAAAAAGACGCTTCTGATAAGGACCAAAAGTTCCCAACTTCTTAATGAGGGCATCGTAATCCATTGTCTCAGCTTCTCATTTGTTCCTACGTAGGAAGCGGTTGTGGCGAAAGAATCAATGAGGCACAAAATGAACACAATACATTTCTAACAAGTTTAGCTTTTATAAAAAGTTTAGAGAGTCAGCCAGAGGATTTTCTTCTCTGTGATAATGTTTTAAAAAAATAATAGGTAACTGAATAAAAATTGCTTTCAACATTTTTTTTTCATTATTAGCAGATAAGGCTACTTTAAAAACCTCGTCTTAACAGTTTTCCACATAGGAACAAAAGCGTTTGTGCATGCAGATTCTATTGTATATTTGTCTCTTTATCATAACAAAAATTGCAGTAAAGAAAACCTCTCACATGCTTAAAAGCGAAGAACGATCCCGGGAGTTTACAAACAGATCCAGTAACCAGACAATTAACCAGCCCACGGCCTGACTAAAAAGAAAAGTCCCCTGACTGGCTTACCTGAGATGGAGATGGTGCGTGTTCCACGCTTCTTGTTACAGGAGACCTTTATTGTCCTACAACATATAAACAGGAACAATAAAGCACACTGAAGTTGGAAAAAATTTCAGTTGGAATGAAACCGAATACTTTGGTTTTCTTTTGAACCGTGTTTGTAACATATCTTAAAAAGTTTATACTTAGTTTGTACTTAGGCTGGAAAACCCCATACTGCACGGGGAGAAATTCCTCGCTTGTTTGTTTTCTCACATTAGTTATGTTCTCCTTCGTTTCACTCACCCGAACATAAAATATTTCTATTCTAAGTATCTTAGTGAATAAACAACAGAACACAGATATAGAATGTGATGAGCGGCTATCAACCAGTTTATTTGCGATATGTACAATAAACTCCCGAATTTATCAGAGATGCACTGGAAGCAGACCCCAAGAAGTGATTTCCACATTACAATCTACAAAATACAATGTAAAATATTAAATATACATATCAAAATTATGCATCATTCTAATAAAAATTCCATTTCTTTGTTTTCTCTTTGTTAAAGTCTGCCTGCCCATACAATTTTAATGGTTAAAAGTACAAAAATTGAATTTATTTTCATTTAATTAAGTTTAAATTTACCAATTATTTTCATAAATGTATAGTCCGCCATATTATTTAAGATGGGAGACATACAATGAAGCGCATTGAAGTGGTAAAATTTTCTGTTTGGATGGAACGTTTTGAGCTATCTTTAGACACGCCCATTTCTTTAGAAAGGAAAACTCGGTCAAATGATTCAATCGAATACCTGTAGAACAGGTATTTCATAAATATAACATCCAATGAAATTGACGGTTTACATAAACACCGAGTAAGCACGTGTTCGACTGATACATGTGCTATGCTAACTCCAATAAACATGATAAAATCATAATTATGGACAAATTCGTTGCAATGCGTGTTTTACATAAGCGGGAACTCTATACATAGCTCTTTCTTATTTAAAACTCTTAATTTCAATGTAACTCATGTTGCTTGTCGCGGGAAGTGTAGTGTCCTAAAACATTACGGCGGATATTCCTTTCTCGTTTCTAAAGAAATGGGCGTGTCGTTATGTTATAATTGACGTTCAAAACATGACTCGGAACGTTTCGTCCAAATGGAAAATTTTACCACTTCAATGCGCTTCATTGTAAATAGACAGAAGCATATGTCAACATAAAAAAAATCGTACATTTTTTGGAAACAGCATCATGAATAAAATTGATTATTATGTAAAAACTGAGTCAAATGCATAATTGTGATGCTAAAATTCCCAATACTTGCTCCTTATAAAATACTTTTGAATTGTGAATATAAGAGAAACTATTTTTCAGTAGAAGTACTATAAAGAAAATGCCTGAATGAAGCTACATGAGTAGGCGTTATTGCCCTTGTCAACATTTGTTTTAAAGATTGAATAATTGATTAAATAAAGGAAATATGCATTTTTGAAAATCATTTTTCCAAAATGTATTGTTCTGTTGGGTATAAATTTAATTTATTTTTGCAAAAACCTATGACATCACAGGAGGATGGAATTTCCTTAACTCTTTGAAAATCAATCGAGTTGATTTCATGATAATTCTACTGAAATGTAAATTTCACCACTTTTTTTTGCAAAGATAGACATTATATAGGCATTAAAAATTGGGGGTTACCTTTTTTGTTGGTTTAGCCCCCCCACTTTCAAATTGCTTTCGACGCCTATGTATTAATTGTAAAAGTTTTAACTTTATACCTCAAATAGTTTTGGAGCTATTGTAAAAATAAATTGTTGTTTGTAAATAGCCTACTGGATAAGACTTTATCACAAGGATACATAATAAACAAGATTTTAGGAAGTGTGTCACTTTAGGCGTATATTTTTATAACCCTTCGTTCTGATTTGTAAGATGTCCTAGTATATTAAGTTGACAATACATCCATATGTTCCGTACCAGTCTTGATATTCTCAGTAACTATTGAAATTGGAAACTTCAGGTTAATGTAGATAAATCTAAAGTTATGATATTTAACTCAAATGGCAAGCCTCAAGAAAATGAATTTAGTTTTACAATGAAGCGCATTGAAGTGGTAAAATTTTCCATTTGGACGAAACGTTCTGAGTCATGTTTTGAACGTCAATTATAACATAACGACACGCCCATTTCTTTAGAAACGAGAAAGGAATATCCGCCGTAATGTTTTAGGACACTACACTTCCCGCAACAAGCAACATGAGTTACATTGAAATTAAGAGTTTTAAATAAGAAAGAGCTATGTATAGAGTTCCCGCTTATGTAAAACACGCATTGCAACGAATTTGTCCATAATTATGATTTTATCATGTTTATTGGAGTTAGCATAGCACATGTATCAGTCGAACACGTGCTTACTCGGTGTTTATGTAAACCGTCAATTTCATTGGATGTTATATTTATGAAATACCTGTTCTACAGGTATTCGATTGAATCATTTGACCGAGTTTTCCTTTCTAAAGAAATGGGCGTGTCTAAAGATAGCTCAAAACGTTCCATCCAAACAGAAAATTTTACCACTTCAATGCGCTTCATTGTAAAGGGAATGCAATACAAATAGTACCAAGATACTGTTATTTAGGTATTATGATGAAATGTAATAGGAAGTTTAATTTAGCAACAGCTGTGCTTATTGAAAAGGCTAGAAAAGCATGTTTTAAAATAAAAAGAGTTATTGGATTTGATAACCCATGTAAACTTTTAGAAAAACTCTTTGATGCTATTGTACTTCCAGTTCTTCTCTGTTGTAGTGAAATATGGGGAGTGGATCTCTCAGCCAAAGATATTTCAAATATTGAAAATTTTCACTTAAAATTTATTAAAGACATCCTTGGAGTGCACTGCAAAACTTCCAATGCTGGTTGTTTAGCAGAACTTAAAACACTACCACTTTGGTCCAAAATTTCCCTCTCTAGTATCAAATATTGGAATCACCTGAAAACTTCTGATTCTTTGGCCTTTAAACTTTACCAATCCACAAGTAACTGTAATTCTTGGACTAAGAAATTATTTTCTATTCTAGATAATCTTGGATTCTCAAACATTACAAAATATACAGGTTCCATCCAACACCTTTTACCAAACATTAAACAAAGAATCATTGATCAGTGCACTCAGGAGCAAACGTCAAAAATCTTTGGTTCAGAAAAACTTGATTTCTTCTAGAAAGTATACTCAGGAAAAAGAAGTCCTTATGTTGATTAACTCAGAAACAGATCTGAGAGATCCTCTCTTAGTACAAAAACTTGCAGTAGAAAGTGGTAGATGTATTTCCACATCAAGAAATGAAAAATATTGTAATGTTTGTAATACTGGTGTGATTGAGGATGAAATGCATTTTCTTTTTCAATGTAAATTTTTACTCTAAGCTAAGAAACACATTCTTTAGTAATATTTATAACATAACAAAGAAAAATAATAATTTTAGCAATGAGAAATATATGTTACAATTATATGTAAACAGTAATATACAAAAAGTCTTGAAAGTTACTGTTAAATTTATCAGAGACTGTTTTGAACTTAGAAGCTAATTACTTGACAATTCTTGAAAAATATGTAAACATTATTTAATGATGTTCAGTGGGCCTTTGCCAATTACTGTAATTGTGTTTGTGCCAATAAAGTATTTGTATTTGTATCTGATTTTCCATGAATAATTTGATCGCGGACAAATACCTTCATAATATACGCAGAGGACGTGTTATTGCTAGAAACAGATATCCTTTCTTATTTTTTATCAGGTCGGGTACACAACCTTTCATGTAAGGCACTTTTCAACACGTGTCGATATTTTTGTCAAACCCATTCTCTAAACAATTGAATGAGATGCAAAGCATGACAGTCAATCACGTGTTTATAATACAACAGCCAGTGACAAAATGGTTTCCGTCGGTCTTTCCCACTCTATACTAGTCAGGTACTCTCTCTAAAGAGCTACCAATGCCGATATCCATCCAAACCATTCATCCCAACAGGACATTTCATCATCTACAACAATCATTTTTTACCATAGATTAAAGGTTCGAGGCTAATATTTTCTTGTATTGTATCATGACTTAAATGTTGCTATATCATTTCACAAGGAATTATGATAAAAAAAAATTATTTAATCTGGCCTACATGTAGGTCCAATTTTCGGTCGCCGGTGTAAATAAGGATATAACGGTTCCATTGCCAAGCACCCTGCTCAAAATATCACGGTATACTTTCGGATTAGACATTAAATCCGAGGTCCTATGTCACTGTATTAGCATAATACAGAACCCTCACTGCTCTATGTCCCAAAGTGTCTAATACAGGTCTTTAAAGTGTATGAATATATATAGATATACAATATTTGAATGCCAAATATATACTGTAAATCAATTTTTATTCGCGTGTGAGGAATATTCGCGATCTATTTTATCTCGCGAATATTAATCGTCCCGAATCAATGACTTCGCTTTGTATTTGTATACAATGTTGATCCGTCGCAAAAATTAATTGATTTCAAACTGACGATTCGTGAATAAAAGAGGACGCGAATAATATGTAGCAGATT